TAATATACGTATTTCATATCAATGTGAATAATTGGAATAAAAATATTCTTTGTGCAATAATTATCTTCTTTCAGCTCTAAAAGTAAATATTTAAAAATATATTTGTTTTAAGTAAAATGTATACAGTTAAATATTTATTTATTTCTAGAACAAAAAGAAGATATTAGTTAGCTGACGATACGTGTTTGAAGTTATGTGCCTGCATTATAATAATGGAGTGCTGATAAGACGCTTATCAGAAATAGCCACAAATATTGGTGTGCGTTTGCTTCTTTGTTGAACCACCACAAGCATTGCCAATGGCAGGTAAGTTCATGCTTGAAGGTCGTTTGATCGAAGTGGTGGGTGTGGGTTGCCGCAAGTTTGCGCGTGCAAGGTCTACACAAGTTTTCAATTATCTAAAACTCCAGCTGATAACAATTTTAGAAAATGTATTTTAGTGCGCGTCGAAGAGGCCTCAACTTGTGCCCCTCCACGCGCAACTCGTGTGCAACATTCTTTCATTGTGCTGGGTCAGTTCTTATGCAGCGACATTGCCCGATCTGATGTTACCTCACGGTGCGTGCCGATTAGCCACGCTTCCGACTTTACATAACAGCAGCCAAAGCTGCGCTAATTACGGGCTTCAATTTAGTCATTTCCGTTTTACGATAATATAAACGAGATACAAACATATTATATAGATATCAAAATCCAAAAAAAAACTAAGATCAAAACAAAACTCAATGAAAAAATATATCCAGGCATTGGTGTTCTTTTTTTAATGATTTTATGAATGGATGCCTACGCAGGCCAGGCTTGATTAGATATCGCCTTATACTCTATAAATAATATAGTTTTAGACCTGAAACCTTTGAAAGTTCACACAGATATTTAAATAAAAATGAAAAGCTTGCGTAGACGAAATTTGTCCGGTTATGAGAGCTGTCCAATATAGGAGCTTATTATTTTAAAGAGCGATTTTTAATCACTCTAAATTTTAGAGTCTTAAATTATCAATTATCAGAAATAAAAAACTAAGCCCATGATTTATGTAAATGATAATAACTCTAGTGCAGAGTACAATGGAAATTTCCGTTGCACTAAATGTTTCTTTCTGTGTATAAAATAATTGTAACCAAAAAGAACTTGAACAAAATTTATGAATGAATGAATAAGAAGCAAACATACACGCATGCATGTGCACAGCTTGTGTGTGTGTGTGTGTGTGTATATGGATGAAAAGTGGCGTGCAAACGAAATATAAAACAGGCGAGCCAAATACAACTACAACTACAACAACGCATACACACACGCACACACACAGGTACGTATGAATTTGTAGCAACCGCAACGACAAACATTTATATGAATGAATGAAAAATTGTAAAGTGAAAAAAAAGGCAAAAAGTTGTTAACGCAGCAGTTCCACGAAAAAAAAAACCCAAAAAAAAAAAGACAACAACAGCAAGAAATCTGTGAACAAGAAATTTGAAAGGTAAAAACTTAAATTAAAACAAAACTTAAATAAGAAACACGGAGCAAGTGTCGAGAGACAGCCCCAGTCGCAGCCTCAGCAACTGGTTTGGTTTCCACCAGCAGCAGCTGTCCACAAATGTGCGTTAGGCGAGTCCAAATTATGAATAAATAAAGAGCAACAGGGTCGGCGGCGGGGGGGTGCAGCTAAAATCAAAATAAATACAGTAAAAAGATAGAAGCACAAAACGTGCTGCCCAAGACTCGGTCCAAGCCGAGATAGGAGACGCGCCCACATCTTCGTCTTCGTCGGCTGAAGAGTGGAAAGATTCAAAGCGAAGACGAAGCCGGTTTGCAGGAACATTGTTGGGGGGCGCACACGCAAAAAGGAAGGAAATAAACATCAAGCATCATCGAGTGAAACCAACAACTACAACATACACACACGCACACACACACACACACACAAGCCAGAGGGAGAACGAGGGCTAGCGTGAGCTAAGTAAAGAACTTCAACCAAGCAGCGAATCGAAGCAAAAAAAAACTCAGCCAGCCCCACCAAGTCAAAACGAGCCAATGTTTCTGTTGCCTGTTGCTATTCCCCATTCATCAACTGCATTTCAACGCCGCGAGGCGATCGAGCAGCAACAGCGCAGCAGTAACAACAAAGCGCAGGCAGAACCAGAAACTTTTCTACTCGCAACGTAAGTATGAATGAAAACGAACGTGTTTGCTTTTTTTTTTTTGTTGACGAGAGAGTCGCGAGAGCAACTGGCTGAGCGCATGAATGAATTTAACGGGCTGGGAAGTGAGCGCCCAAAATGAATGAAAGTAGTGGGGCTCTCTCTCTCTCTCTCTCTTCTGGTGGATTTTCAGTTTTTGTTCTCTGATCACCAATACATGCAAGCATGTAACAATTTCATACGAATCATAGCATATTAAAAAAATTATATTTGCTTTACTTTTTTCATCGCTCTTGCGGCTTTTGCTGTTATTTTCAAAGTTTATGATTAATATGCGCTGATTAAAGGCGCGGAAAAAATATATATAGTGTACACACTTACATATGAATATGCATGTATGCACGTATAAAATTAAAATAAGGGCAGGCTGGATACAATTATATGTATGTATATACATATGTGTGTATGCACAAATACTTATATATCTTTGACTGTGCGTATATTTTGCTCTTTTATAAACACATACATATTGTAAACTAAATTTTCGTGCCGCGTTGTTTTTGGCCCCCCTTATTTTATTATTATTATTATTAGTATTATTTTGGTCCCCTTTCAATGGGTCCCCAGCAACTGCGCAGTTGTCGCAGTTTTGCATGTTTTTTATTTGTTGCCATTTTTATGGCCGATCTTCTAGCGGCAAAAGATAAGTTCATGCGCCGCTACAGACTCGATTTGTAGGGAACTGGGAATGGGCCTGCGTCTGGGGCTGGCACTTTGGCTGCTGCTGGGGTTGGGGCTCTCCGAGTGGCCCAAACAGCAAACTGTACGGGATAGTTGGCCACTGACTTTTGTCGTACGTTTGCGTCGCGTCGCGTCGCGTCGCGTTGACATTGAAATTGTTTTGGTTTTACTTTTTGTTGATTTTGACACAGCGATAAGGCATAAATACTTTTCTGTATATCTGTGAGCGCGCGTGTGTGTGTGAAGACAAAAATATCCCATTTTGTGATTTGTTTTTATAAACAACTTTAAATTCAGGCACTTCAGCAGATCCAATGCATTGTTTGAATTTGCTTTGCGTACATACATATAATAAAACACACAAGAATACATCAAGTATCTTTAAGATACATTGTTATGTTCTTATAATTTAAATTCTAGAAATTGGAAATCAATTCAATATTTGTTATTGCTGGCTCAAAGCAATGATGTTTTATTAAAAGAATTCATTGGCTAGTTAATACTAGTTAATAACATTGCGTTTAATACAGATTGTTGTTATGTAAGGGGCTTTGTTTTTTACAGAAACTTCCCACAATTGTGCCTCAACCGAAACATTTTCATCAGCATTCACACAGCAAAGATGCATACAAATTACCATTAAGCTGCCAATACATTAAGACATAAGCACACACATGCACCTATGTATGTGTGTGAATATGTGTGTGTGTGTGTGTGTGTGTGTAATAGAATCATGCATGGCAGGCAGCATGCAGGCGCACGGTAGTGGACAAAAGTAGAGAAGACACATGCCAAATGAACGACGACGTTTTGTCACATAACGTATACGTAAGGTATTTTGCCAGAGTGAGTGACTGACGTATTGCCTGATTGACAGCAGCAACAGCCAGAACACTGAGCGCGAGGGGAACTAGAAACGAAGGGGAGCACTGAGTGCACATTTAAGATATTTATTTCATGTATTTGAAATGCAAATGTGAGAGTGTGCGTGCGTGTGTGTGTGTGTTGGTTGCTTGGTTTGTTTTCTGTTCGAATTGAATGACTTGACTTGGGGCGAATGAGTGAATGAAAGAATGAATGAATCTGTAAGTTCGCTTGGCACTTTGCCGGCAGTTTGGGGCGCGGTGCCTGCGTTTTGCCTGTGCCTCTCTGAATGGACACCGGAAATAAACGACGTGACTTTTTACTAAAATATTAACCAACTATGTATATACATATATATAATACAAAAACTTTCATATATTCATGGATCATTTTTATATAAATACTCATACATCATATAAAACCATCTATTCGATCTACATATACACATGTATGCATACATGCATGTATGCATGTATTTGCGTCTTTCGCTCGCTTTGTTTTCAACAGCGCAACACAGTCAAATCACAATTTTTATATGTGCCAGTGCGTCTGTGGCTTATCTTATCGCAAATAATTTGTATTTGGTATTTTTTATCGCCCTATTCAAAAGGCATATGCGAATAATAAAATTGCAAAAACAAATCGCCCAGCCAAAGAGTCTGAACATGACTGATGATGGCATTTCTGTGTGTGTGTGTGTGTTCGTGTGTGTGTCTGCCCGAGTGTGTGTAATATTTTTAATGTATGTGCATGCACACAGTCTCTGCTGCGCTCTCCCAGTGCGAGTATAAATACATACACACACATACGCATACGTATACTTAGATATGGATATGTCTGAGTGCAAAGATAGCGCACAAGAACTGAGCACGATCATATAAGAAAATACGAAACATTCGCACGACATATTGCTCTTTAATTATTTCCATTTCTTAGAAATATGTTATCTACAAAAATGTCTTCAACATTAGGCCCCATATAACAATCGGGTTAATAGTTATGCCATTGTGGAGTCTACACTGGAAATACCAAAAACTTATTTTTTGTGATTCCCAATGGTTTTCAAGGGCTACTGTTTGATTAAAATAGATTATGACAACATATCAAGTCGCACTTCGCCTAGGAAGGCCTATAGGAAGGTCTCTCAAGCTACATATCTTTAAAATTTTTGACAAAAAATGGATTTTGACAATATTATCTTGGGTATAATAGTTCCTATCTAAAGCCCTTAATCATGTTTCGTTTCTCATTACTTACCCAGCGAAGCTTCATGATCTGAAATATCCGATAAACTGCATACAGTCAAATCTTTGCAGCCATTAACCGGTTCCTCTTTAATATACTTTGTGGTGGACTGAAAAGTAAAAAATAAGATATAGAGAAAAATGTTATATCTTATAAAAAAAACTTTAAAAGAATATTCCAATAATTAATAAACAAACATAAGCCATTTATAATGTTTATTTGTATGCTCTAGCTAGATTGTCAACGATTTTCAGTCCAATTTTAGCTTTTCCTACAACTTAACTAGCTGTACATCATGTAATATTACCCTAGCAAATTAGACCCACAAAACGCAATGAATGATGTCAAATGGTCTAGCATTGGGGTAGTTGGATTTGAGCTTAGCCAAAATTTGTGTGCGGAGCCCCCAAAACATAAACCAAAGCCCCGAAAGCCCCGGCTCACAATCAGCAAGGCAGGCAGAGCAGCATGGACATGGAATAGATTGCCAGCAATTGTCGGCTGAGGGAGGGGCTGGGTGCGGGCACTGTGACTGCCCCAATTGCTGTGGCAGTCCCCTGGGTTTGATCATGTTAAACGCGTTCTAATAAATTAAATTGTACATTTGACTTCGCATACACTGATACACACACGGACACGGACACAGACACAGACACAGACACATACACTAGGCTGGCTACTCAGCGCGATGATCAGTAGAGGGTGAGGCGGAGGGGGATGTGGGGAGTGGGAGGGGTATCATTTGTGATGTGTCTGTGGCTGCTGTTTTGTCGTTTATTGTCGTTTATGATAATGGAGGTCACAGTAGTCAAACGAAATGTTTCATAAATATCGTAATCAATTGACGCCAAACAGACAATTCAATTTGAATTCCGAATTGGAATTTGATTCGACGACAGTCTCTCAAAAAAGTTCACCTTCTATTATGTGGTTAGCTTCAAATGTCAAAAAAAAAAGAAGTAAAAAGACAAAAAAAAAGCGATATATAGAGGCGAAACTTAAGACACGACTTTCTGCCAGACTATAGATTAAATTACTTGACTGCATTTTCCACGCGACTGCGCATGCGGCCAGGTTCAATGCAGGTCCTTTGACTTTGCCAGGCTCGGCCAGGCTGTTGACCGAGCAACCGGATGAAAGTGGTCAGCTCAACGGATATGTTTACCGCAAACTGTGGCAACAACAAACACTAAAATACCTTCACATGATCAAAAAAAAGAAAGGCTATCTTTGTCACCCCGAAGATTAAATACCCTTGTGGAAATGTAGCTTATGGTTTTTCAGGAGAACTTCCATAGGAAAACTCATTGTTCGACTGATTCTTCCTTTGGAGATAAGATAAGATTTTGCTGATATGTGAGGTGTGTGGCAGAACTCTTTCATACAAGAACTTTATTTTCTTAAGTTCATAAAGTAGCAGCTATATAAGACCAATGAATCGGTCCGATCTGGCCTCAGATCTGGCATCAGAAAATCGAAACGGCGCAAAGTTTCAATAAGTTAGCTTTAAAGCTGACTATATTGACTCGGTTGTTGATACCGATCAAGACTCGGTACTTTATGAGATCGGAGTTCCCTTCTGGGACAAACTTATAGTAACCCCTACAAAGGTATAAAAAGACCATCAAGAAATGCACTCGGTCAAAGGTTTTACCTTAAATATAGAAAGCATTACTTGAAGATGTTCAACGAACAACCTAAATTTCAACTGACCGTTCAGATTCATCCTATAGCTATAAGACCCTCTGCAAGCATATAAGAACTCCAGAAGAAATCCGCATCAACATAAATGGAGCGTCCGATCGGGCTTTTGTGTACCTTGATGACGCAGCAGGGCGAAGCCTTATAATTGCCATATATTGGATGTATTGTATCCTCGCTATTGTTTGCTATTTTTGGAAGACTTACGTATATTTTTAAATATTTACATTTCGGGCAGGTCTGTGGCTGACTATTTCTGTCATAAATTAAGTGGCACGCTCATTACTTTTATAGCACATAAACAACAGATTTGATGCGAACAGTTCAAAGACATTGATATACCCTACGATTAATATTTTTCAGCAAAGAAAATAAATCTGGAATATCTTTACATTAAATTATTCACGGGTACAATTAAGTTCTCAAATCATCTACTATATAAATAGAATGCTTTTAAATGTGATATGCTTGATGTTTCGACTGTAGGGTGTTAAAAGTGCATAAAACACAAACGCATAATATATATTATATTTGCGTTTTGTTTGGGCAGCCAAATTTAGATTCAGTCGACGTGTTCTGCATATCAAAACGGACCCAAGATCGCATCAATCCGTCGTTGCCTGAACTGATCAATTGTGAAGCCTGTCAAACTTGCTTGGAATATAATGGACATAGGATCGATTAGCCAACTGATCGACAGATACATCTAGCTATGAGTGCTCTTCAAGATTATAGGTATTTTTAAAGTTTCGTATGGAAAACACTTGTAGGTAGTTTCGGGAGAATCGACAATTGATTGTATAAAGATTCAATCTGCAGATGAGGTTCTTTTAGGACTATAGGTATTACGATCGAGATAGACTATTCTAACCATAAAATATATTAATATGTGCACTTGGCACTTGTATGGAAAACTTTTTTGTTTATCAAGATATCTTGATCAAAACTTGGCATAAACAAGTTTCACTATTCTCAGAGCTCTTCAAAACTGTAAGCCAAATCTCTACAAGGGTATTACTTTATCGATTATTTTTGAAATTTATGAAATTCTTTATATAATAGTTGGAATAGTCTTATAAGCTCATATATAATAACATTCTAAAGTAACTTAAGATCGATGGAAAACAGTTTTCTAAAACTTACCTCAACTAGGCTGGACAGAAATGTGACTTTTCTGTTCTTTTTGAGCCGCATGTTGCTGCTGCTGCTGCTGCTGCTGCCGCTGCAGTTGCTGCTGTTGTTCAAGAAGGAGTTGGGATTGTAGCTAGTTTTAAACAGGTGTTGTCCCGCGTTGAAATTGAGGAGTTCGTTGAAGTGCACCGCCCTGTCAAGGAAGGAGTGTGTCGTTGCCGTTGCCGTTGTTGTTGCGATTGCCGCTGCGGCTGGCAGCGCTGGGGGCAGCATAAATTTTGTTGCAGACAGATCTGTCTTACAAATCGCCACTTCCATGCTGTGTACTCATCTAGAATGGTGAGAAAGTAAACAAATTGCAATTAGTAAAAGCGCAAAGTGCAAGACAAACAAACAAACTGCGATCGTAGATGGATTTGATCCCATTATGATTGCAGTGGCGCTTCGAACTCAATTTCCCATATTATTATTGGCCCATTACTTAGCAGGCTGTGCGCCGCAGTGGGCTTTATGGACCTCGTTCACACCTTCAACTATGGCCGCTGCTCGCACCTTTATGCTCAATTGGAGCCAGGGATGCCTTGTTGACTTAAGAAATTATGACGCTTTGGTGCGACTCAACGTCTCGGACGTCTCGGCCGTCTGGCCATGGTACACACAAGTACGTACAATATTTACACAGTAACAACGATCGGAACGTTTTAAAATTGCTCGCGCCACGAGACAAGAGCAACATCAAAGTGTCCGCCCCTTTTGAGCGACTCAACGCGACTGGGGACAAGGCCACAACAAAAGGAGCCGCCGCAGTTTGCATATAAAATACGGTTTTGTTTACACAGCATCCATCATACTGTATAGTTTTTAGAGCTAAGGGCTTTGATTTTCTTGCTAGAAACGTACGATTTTCTAAATATGTTTCTAATGGATTTATTTCAGTGCTGTAGTTCTTCAATATTTGCCAAAAGTCACTAAGAACGATGCGCATTATGGAAGTTTTATTTTCAGAGAATCGGCTTTTTAAAGTTTCTTTGATCTTATATGAGCTTTAAATGGAAGCAAGCCACAGAAATTGGGTTAGTTTCCACAAATTGAGCGTAAGAATTCAATTCACAAAATCTTAGCATCAAATAGGAGAGAACGCATATTTATTTCTATAATTAAAAACCTTTTCCCAGTTTTAGGCAAATTCGTTTTCTAGAATTTTTATTATTACAAGATATCGTATAAAGTATAGATAGAAAAACTTTTAATCTTGTTGAAAGATAGCTCTGCAGAGAAAATACGCCACCTAGCGGACGTTAAAAGGATACAGAGTAAATGTAAAGGGCAGAAACAGTAGAAGATTCATAAAGGACACGCTATACTAGCTTAACTTAACGTTTTGAAGATTGCGATTGTATTTATTATTATTATAAGGCAAAGTTAAATATTATAGTGAGCGCTTGAAAGTACTTGAATCTCAAAAGACAATTTAGACAAAATAAATTAAGACTCTTTGGTGTAAATCAATACAAGAAAGACAACGTATTCTGTGATTCGAACTTTGTCCTGCTTGATTTAGTAACATTTATCGCGAACGGAATCTTGGTGGGGTTTCCAAAAAAATAAAAACATGCCCATGGGTATTTAATTTAAATAAACAGCTTCCGGTAGGGTTGTTATCAATCTGACAAAGGCCGTATTTGCTGATAAGCTGGCCGAGATCGCAAGGCTTAATATTGTATTCTAATGGGCTACCAAATTATTACAAAAGAGAAAAGGCCAGAAAGAATTGTTTATCAAACGGAAGTGACGCTGTGACGATTTAATACAAAAAAATTATACATATAATAGAGAACACACGTATAGCCAGACCCGCACTACTGTTATGCTTATGTATATCTGGAATTCAGTAGCTGTTGCTTTGAGGCCTCTATAAATAATACAACTTCAAGATAAACTCAAGCAAGCAATTACGCATTTTAAATTGAATCTATGTGGAGGGGCTTGTGATAAGCGCTGCACAGCTCCGCCTAATGTAAGAACTTACATACCATTTGCATATAGTATATACATATATACATATATATATATTTTAATATGTATACTGCCTGTATAAGTGTGTATCTGTGTCGTTGTACTTGATGCGTAGCTAAGTTATGCATTGAGCTGAGGTTTCTGTATCTGATTGTGTGGCAGAGTCTGCTTAATTAGATACGTTATGCAAATAAAGTTTGGGCTTCGTGACGTTGACGCTTGACGCTTGAGAGTGTCGCCTGTATGGCAATCCGTTATCTACGCACGTTATCTGCCATCTGCATATAGCTATATCTATATATGTATGTACATACATGCAAACCGACATTTACATACAAGTGTATCTTAAATGAACAGATTCCGATTCGCATTGATCTAACTGCATAAATTGTTTGTGCGCGCGTGAAATCAATTTTCATTTGATTTGCTGATTTAATTGCCGTTAGCTGTGTTGATCTGGCCAACTGGCTAGCCCAGTTACACCCACGCCCACACACACACACACGCACACACACGGGGAAACTGTCACACAGCGAGTGTGATTAACTGCAGTAAATACATAAATTTAAGTTAATCAAAATTTAAATGGATAATAAAATTACAGTGTGCAGTCAACAGCGGCATTAAATTTTCAGTGCAATCAAATCAATGCAGAAAGAACAACAAATAAAGGGTACTCTAGTCGGGAGTGCCCGACTAGGGTATACCTTGAAACGACTTGGTAGCCGTAGATACAAAATGAAAGATACTTTATCTGTATATTCTTTTCTGGAAGCTAAATGTCAAATTTGGTGACTCTAGCTCTTAAAAACAAAGAGATTTGCTTAAAAAACAGGATTTCGATATCGATTTATATCGATTACTTGGAAACGAGGCAAGTTATTATCGATTATCGGAAACAAACTCGTACTGTGCGGGCACTAGTAAGATCATGTCAAGTCCCCAGATTTTGTTGGTCCTGAGATCGATGCGTTCATTACGGACGGAAAGACTGACGAGTCTGGCTAGTTCGACTCGACTATTGATGCTGATCAAGAATTTATATACCTTATGTGGTCGGAGGTGCTTCGTACCGCTTGTTACATACATTTAAAGAAAAACATAAAACTCTTTTTACCCATTTTCAATTGGTTCTGAAAAGTGTTTTGACATTTACAGAGTACATATGGTAAATATGCATCTAATTGACATGACAGCGCAATAGTGCATATTATAGTAAAAATAAATATTTATACATATATACACGTAAATGTATATGAAACATGCTTTATAAGTATTTTCGACACATGCACTTAGTACATTTCGCACACGAAAATAATTGATTGACGCATAAAATTGGCTAAAATAATAAGCAAAGGAATATTCAGATTGATTTTACGTGTGCGCAGCACACTTCTACGATAATACCCAGAACTGATATTTAATAATACGTATATATATATAGAGTATTTATTTGTTAGCTTTAAGCATCAACCAGCCAAGTTGGTCAAGTGGCAGAAATAAACGATAATGTTTATCGGAATGTTTGCCAAGTACCCATTACTTCAATCTGTTAGCATAAGAACTCGCTATCGGCCAATTAACCGGAATTACACGCACTTAAATATTTCCAATAATTGTTGGCTCATATTGTTTTCTTTTCATAAATCATCTTGATAGTAGCGATATTTTTCAAGTGTATTGAATAAAATCGAATTTAGATAAAGCTTTATTAAATGCAAAAAGAATAGAATAACTTTAATAATATCATTCCTATTTTTATTTAAGAACACGTTTTCTATGGATGATCGATTTGACGTAGCTTTAGCACAAATTGATAAGAAATATCTCGTCAAATATCTGTTAGATTTCACAAAAACCTATCGGAGAGCTGCGCCAGAGAAGGCCGCTTATAACCAGTTAAACTACGTAATTTTTGTTGCCACAATGCGGTATAGAAAAAACACGATCTTATCTCAGAGCCATGTAGATAAGGGAGCAGCTAAAAAGACAGCAACTGAGAGCAACTTTCTACGAAGTCAAATTGAAAATCGGAGCATATGTTTTCCCTAGAAAATGCCAAGTAATATGCATGGAGCATTTCGGTTTGGTAGGCGGCACAACCAGACACAACTGCAGACAGCGAGAAAAGAAGAAGAGAAATTGAAGAAGAAGAAGAAGAAGTAGAAAAAAAGATGGTCCAGACAACTGTGCTGCGGGACAACGGACAGCAGATGCTAAAGAAACAGATTGTAAACGAATATGATATTTCGATATGATGCACACTCCTTGCCCAAACTCCGAATCAGAGCCAGAGCCAGAGCCAGATCCAGACCCAGACTCAGCCCCAGACGACCGCAACGTAGCATGCAACCATAGGGGTGCAATTTTTGTGTGCACGTAACGGTAGAATACACTTTAGTTGCTGTTGCTGTTCTTTTTTTGGAAAGGGATCTTCACTGATCTTCTGCCTGTGCGCCTGCGCACATGTGTTGGCTGTCTGTCCCGCTGTCTTCTTCTCCGCTCGGTCCCTATCTTAAGTTGTGTGTGTAAGCGTGTGTGTGTGTGTGTGCGTGTGTATCTGATTATGGTATCGATCTTGAACTCGGACTGTCTTCAGCAGGTTTATATCCAGCTCAAGCAAGGACCAAGATCATTAAACGTAGCATGGGGCAACGAACCAGCTTCAAAATGCAGTGAACTGTAAGTGAACGAACATCTACTTTTTGGAATCGGTCAAATGTCAAAAGACCTGAGAAAATAAACTGAGAAAATCCTTAATAATTGCAAAGTTGTAGCTACAAAATAAACATATGTTCTTCATTTTTTCTTTGTATCGATGTATGTCTGTCTAGCTATGTGCGTCTTATGACCATCTTCCTTTAAAATGAATAATTCATTCAGACCTGAGAAAATCCTTAATAATTGGAAAGTTGTACATAATATCTTCATTTTTTCTATGTATCCACGTATGTCTATCTATCTATGTAGGTCTTATGATCATCTTCCTTTAAAATTAATAATTCATTCAGGTTTTTTTTATAGGACTTTTTGATTTGACATAGAGCCAATGATCCTTTTACCCCATTTTATTCGATTAATATTATTTATTATTAACTTTTTAAATCATTAGTTATATACGATTATAGCCCCCAGCGGGCTTCCAATTTTCAGGTAAGAGAAGTACATGATGAGTGTTTTTATGGCCCATATTATCAATGATCGTAAATGATCTTGAGCGTTCATTGATCCACATTCTGGGCACATTAGGAAGCCCAACAGTAGCGGCTTAATCGGCATCGATCGCATGGCTCCCAAAAACAAAAACAAAACCACAAACATTCACACATTCCCATTAACGAAATGGGAATCGAAGCCCATAAAGGTGAGAAAAGGAAAAACAAGAAGAAATGCAATCAAAGGTAGCACCGGAAACTGTAACAGTGGTAATTTCAATTATGCTCAAGGGTTGCGACTTAGCCAGGCCCCCACCATCCGCAGGCAAGCAACCTGTAAGGTCGCCAACAGTCCTGGTGGCTAGCTGAATGGCTGCGATAGTTAAGGCCGCGGTAGCAACTTGATATAAACTGGTTTTTCCTAGATTCATTCAAGAAAACAGGCAGCACACAAGCACAGCATACCATAACACAAACACACACGCACACGCACACACCTGGGCAGAGCGAAAGGGTTTCTAGCTGGTGGCTAAAGTTGAATAAAAATACTTCAACTACTGTTTTCAACACTTCACTCACCGGTGGGGCAATAAAACAGAGGCGTGTAACGCCCCTCAAATGCTGGAAGAGGTAGCCGCTGATATTTTGTTACTTTTCTGCTTTTTTGTTTTTTGTTTTTTTTTGTGTTTTGTTGTTTTGTTTTCTTCTTAAGAGTCTTTATTCTCTTTTTTATTAGGGTATCCAAATTAATTACAACTTCAAATTAGGCGCATAATCTTGATCGGGAAGATAGTCAGTCGCACGGCAAGAAAGCAGGAGCTGCCGACAGCTTTAGTTCTCACTCTCTCCCTCTATCGCTATCTCTCCCTCCCTCTCCCTCTTTCTTTCGATATATGTGTGTATCTTTTCTTTCTCCTTTGCGGCTCTTTCACACACTCGTGGGCATATGGAACAGTTTTGTGGTCGCAGCTTATAGTGTGTATCTGTATCTGTAACCCTCTGTTTATATCGCGTGGATCAGCAGGCAGGTTGATTATGGCCGGCAAGAGAGATTACGTACGTGCCTGAAACAAAGCGCACGAAAGGAAACGCAGAGAATCGAGATCGGGGATTGGATCGGATCGGATCGGCTCTTGGCTTTAGTTCGGCTTATAAGACGCAACGCTAACGCTGCAGCTGACGACAACGCTGACGCTGACGTTGACGCCGACGCGGCAGAGATCGAACGACTACGGATCAGAGCGACCCACACAGACAAGCCCGACTACACGCACACACACTTATATACGCGCACGCACAGACGATCTTTTAAGCGATTTTGTGGTTTTGTAGACAGATTTTTGAATCTTTGCCGTTGGTCGTTGCTGGCTGCCGCTTTGTGGCTCTTTTTCACAAAAAGGTTTAACGTTTTAGCCGCTTTGAGCTGCGCTCTTGTATTATTTGGCTCTATCAATATTTGAACCGCCGCTTTACTACGATATAATTGATATTTGTTTAAACAAAAACAGCAATAACTTCTATATTTCGATTTTCGAATTTAAATTGCACTCATTTCGATGACACAACAATAACAAGATTTGGCTATCGATTGGCGTTTCTGTTTGCTGCTTTTTCTTTGGCAACGACCGACGACGACGCACTCGCGAGTTGCGATCACAGCGAGCAGAATTCTTGCTAATTAAATTGTGTACGTTTGTTGTTGCTTGTTTTGTATTGCGTATAGTTAAGGACCATTCAAATATTCAAACACATAACCGTTAAGCAGTGTGGGCAAGAGACACAACACACACATCGCGTCCAAACGCAAAGAGAGTCGACAACAAACTGAAGCAGGCAGCGCAGCAGCAGACACAACAACACGCCGAACGCCGACGCCGACGCGTTCATACATATGTGCGAAGAGAGGGAATTGAGCGAGCGGAGCAAGTGCCGAAGCAGAACAAGAAGGAGGAGCGGCGAACAGCGAACTGCGAACGGCGAACGTGGAGCTCAGAGTGTAGCAACTGATAACGCCAAAAAAGCGAGAGTACTTTTTTTTTGCGCTACTCTTGCATGGGTGTGCGCAAAACACACATAAAGAAATACAATACAAAAAGAATGAATACATACACACCGATTCCCATTTATATGGGAATATGCAAAATAAGTCTGTCAAATGCACGCAATACAAAGATCCCAAAAGAGAGCACTGCGAGTGGGAGAAGCAAGAGCTACTATTTTCCGCAAGCAAAACGAACAAGAACCCACACACACACACACACACATACACATACATCGATGTGCAGTCTGAGCGAAAAGAAAATCAGAATAACCCAAACAACAAAAACAAAGTGTTTCTATACGAATAACAACAACGCTACTAAAAAAAACTCTGCGTGGTCAGAACGCTACAAGTGTGTGCGTTTAGGTAACTGCATGAGTGTGAGTGAGTGTAACTGTGTGCGTTAGTGTAGCTGTGACTGTGTGCGGCAATCATTTTTAGCAAGCGACGCACAGTGACACAGAACTGCAAATGAATTGTTGAATATGCCCACTGTTCATACGAAACGCTCCCAGAAAGGCTGCAAACAGGTTTACAAACATACGTACATATAGCCAAACACATAGATACACACATATATGTCCAAGTGTTTATATTCTGGCAACGCTTTTGGCATAAATAAAATACATATACACTGATACGTTTACATATGTGTGTATATACATACATACATATGTAGTCGGGCAGCACTGGCGCTACAGGAAAGGGCAATAAGATTGAGCGGCTCCTGCTCCCTGTTCCAGTGGCAGCCTTGCATAACGAACACGTGTAACCAACATGGTTGACTACCACCGACAGCGTTGCCCATAACAAAGAGATTGTCAACTTGGGGTAGGGGCAGCAATTAAATTACTTCACAGCGACAAGTGCACGGCGCAGCAGGACGAACTGAACGAAAGAGACCTGCCATTCGGTATGATGAGAGAGAGAGAGAGAGATAGACAGAGCGAGAGTCACAAAAGTAAGAGCGCTTGCGCGCAGCGCGGCTCTGTCGGTTGTGTGCATGTGTAAGTCGTGTGTTTGCGCATACACGTACATAGGTATGCGTTGCTCGCCGACTGCATTTTTACTACGCGTGTAGGTGAGCCGGATTTTATGAATGAATTTTGTTGTGTGCGTGTGTAATTTGATGAAAACATGAAAACAGGCTGAAAACATGCACAATGCAAGCAGACAACTTTATGGCCACATAATAGAAAATAAACTGCAAATAGGCACATATTTAGGTCTATAAACTCAACAGGCTGAATCTCTATGTGAGGACACACTTAAATTTGCTTCAAATGTTTAGTTAAAACAACATGTAACAAAGAAACAACATGTCATCATTAAATTTTGTTGTAGGCATACCCCATAAACTGTCCAAGTCATATTTTTATATGTATGTGCATATGCATTTTCATTATATTATATTAATTGAAAACAATTCGTATGTATTTAAAAACGCTTGTTTATTCTAATAGGCAATCTCTTATAATGATTTCATTACTTATCAATTCAAGATAATACATAAGTCTTTGCAATACAAGGTATTTTCTTCGGATTTATTGAGAAATGCAAATTTGTTTTATATTATTATGCACTAACCAATTATTCTTACCTTTAAAATAAGATATTCGTTAACTCAGCAATTTTTCGTTAAATTACGAGGCTAACTTCAAGTGAGTTGATAATCTGCGCGCAACCGGCCTCGTGCTGTTCAAATTTGCGTTTGCAGCCAACTTCACGTGGCGCATATTTCTAACTCACTTGAAGTTGGCTGCGCTTGATAAATATCGTAGTATTGATATTTTAAAGTACATTGCACATCGCCAGCTGCAATAAAGGCGCCAAATTAAGGCTGCAGTTTCGTGTGATAAACATAAATGTGTTGCAAATAAATATTAAAATGGCAGAAGCTGGCAAAACTAAGGTGCTGCAAAACACTGGCAAGTTTGTTAGCGAAACGCGCGCTGAGGGGTAGGTGTGCATGCGGCCATTCTCGGTGGAGCACTAAATCTATTGCTCTTTGTCTTGTTTTGCCAGCGACGACTTCTTCAATGAAGCTGGCTACCGCCAGTCGCGGGAGAATGATAAAATCGACTCCAAATATGGCTTTGATAGGGTTAAGGATAGCCAGGAGCGCACAGGCTATCTCATCAATATGCATACGGTATGTTTTTAGTTGCAGTATAAAAATTACCATTGAAATATGCTTTGATTTCTCTTGCAGAACGAGGTACTCGACGATGATCGTCGTCTGGTGGCTGCACTGGACTTGTTCTTCATACAATTGGACGGTTCGCGTTTTAAGTGCACAGTGGCCTATAAGCCGTATCTGCTGATACGTCCTGAGGTGAATATGCATCTTGAGGTGGCGCGCTTCTTGGGCCGCAAGTATTCTGGACAGATTGCCAGCCTGGAGCACATCAACAAGGAGGACTTGGATTTGGCCAACCATCTGTCGGGTCTGCAGCAGCATTATCTGAAGCTCTCGTTTCTCAATCAAACAGCCATGACCAAGGTGCGTCGCGAACTAATGGCTGCAGTGCGTCGCAATACAGAGCGCGAGAAATCCAACACATACTACATGCAAATGCTGGCCAATTCGCTGGCCCAGTCCGCCAACGGCTCTGATGATGGCAGCGGCAAGCGGCAGCAGGATTATATGGACTGCATTATGGATATACGGGAGCACGATGTGCCTTACCATGTGCGCGTATCCATTGATTTGCGCATCTTTTGCGGCCAGTGGTATAATATACGTTGTCGCAGTGGCGTGGAGCTGCCGGCTATCTCTTGCCGGCCGGATATATTGGACAGGCCGGAACCTGTGGTGCTCGCCTTTGATATAGAGACAACAAAGCTGCCGCTTAAATTTCCCGATGCGCAAACCGATCAGATCATGATGATCTCCTATATGATTGATGGCCAGGGCTATTTGATAACCAATCGGGAGATCATCTCCTCCAATATAGATGACTTTGAGTACACGCCCAAGCCGGAATTTGAAGGAAATTTCATCATATTCAATGAGGAGAACGAAATGCAGCTGCTGCAGAAATTCTTTGATCACATCATGGAGGTGCGTCCGCACATTGTGGTCACCTACAACGGTGACTTTTTCGATTGGCCTTTTGTGGAGACGCGCGCCGCTGTTTATGATCTGGATATGAAGCAAGAGATTGGCTTTTCCAAGATGCGTGATGGCATCTATTTGAGTCGACCCTCGATACACATGGATTGTCTGTGCTGGGTGAAGCGAGATTCCTATTTGCCGGTTGGCTCACAGGGCCTAAAGGCAGTAGCCAAGGCAAAGCTGCGCTACGATCCCGTCGAGCTGGATCCCGAGGACATGTGCCGCATGGCTGTCGAAGAGCCGCAGGTGCTGTCCAATTACTCAGTGTCTGATGCGGTGGCCACCTATTATCTGTACATGAAGTACGTGCATCCCTTTATATTTGCCCTCAATACTATTATTCCGATGGAGCCGGATGAGATATTGCGCAAGGGCTCCGGCACATTGTGCGAAACGCTGCTCATGGTTCAGGCGTATCATGCGAACATTGTGTTTCCGAACAAGCACCAGAGCGAGCTGAACAAGCTGTCCAATGAGGGTCATGTGCTGGACTCCGAGACCTATGTGGGCGGCCATGTGGAGGCGCTAGAGTCGGGCGTCTTTCGCGCTGATATACCCTGCCGTTTCAGGCTGGATCCGACTATGGTCAAGCAGCTAATGGATCAGGTGGACGCTGTGCTGAAGCACGCCATCGAGGTGGAGGAGAGCATTCCGCTGCAGCTGGTCAGCAATTTGGATGAGGTCAAGCAGGAGATTGTGCAGGCACTGCAGGGCCTGCACGACATACCCAATAGACTCGAGCAGCCGGTCATCTATCATTTGGATGTGGGCGCCATGTACCCGAATATCATTTTAACCAATCGCCTGCAGCCATCGGCAATGGTCACCGAATTGGACTGCGCTGCCTGTGACTTCAATAAGCCTGGTGTGCGCTGCAAGCGTTCCATGGACTGGCTGTGGCGTGGCGAGATGCTGCCTGCTTCGCGCAATGAGTTCCAGCGCATACAGCAGCAGCTGGAGACGGAAAAGTTTCCGCCACTCTTTCCGGGTGGCCCAACGCGCGCTTTTCACGAGCTCTCCAAGGAGGATCAGGCGGCCTACGAGAAGAAGCGTCTGTCGGATTACTGCCGCAAGGCGTACAAAAAGACCAAAATTACTAAACTGGAGACGCGCAACTCGACCATTTGCCAAAAGGAGAACAGTTTCTATGTGGACACTGTGCGGGCCTTCCGTGATCGTCGCTATGAGTACAAGGGCCTGACCAAGACGGCCAAGGCGTCGGTGAATGCGGCCATCGCCTCGGGCGATGCTGCCGAGATTAAGGCGGCCAAGGGACGCGAGGTGCTATACGATTCACTGCAGCTGGCTCACAAGTGCATCCTCAACTCCTTCTATGGCTATGTGATGCGGCGCGGTGCGCGCTGGCATTCCATGCCCATGGCGGGCATTGTCTGCCTCACCGGCTCCAACATCATTACCAAGGCGCGCGAGATTATTGAGCGTGTGGGACGTCCACTGGAGCTGGACACGGATGGTATCTGGTGCATATTGCCGGGCTCATTTCCACAGGAGTTCACCGTGCACACCACCCATGAGAAGAAGAAGAAAATAAATATCTCGTATCCAAATGCTGTGCTGAATACCATGGTAAAGGATCACTTTACCAACGATCAGTACCACGAGCTGCGCAAACCGGAGAAGGGGGAGCCGCCCAGCTACGACATAC